GCATGTGGGATAGTGCGCCACTTGCCACTAACCTCCTCCTCCACCTGTTAAGTGCTGAGTTGTTTCAGCGAGCTATTTCCAAGGAGAACGTAATTAAGCTGAGAGATTTCGACTTTTCGGACCAATTCACGTATGGGAGGGAATCGAATATTACACTGGGATACACGGGGGTGAATCGAAGAATCAAAGATGAAATACCCATGTACTGCTGCTGTCAAAACTACATCGGTCACATAGAGCTGGTACAAAAGATTGGTGGCAATAGTGGGTGCTATGTGCTGCGAAAGAAGAACTCAAGTGCTAAGGATAAGTAAAGGACAAAAAATAAAGTTTCAGCGTTAATCATCCGTTTGGGATGTGCTCCCGCATCGAGTTCCCAATACAGGCGAGTCTTTTACCCATTACCTGACGGAATTCTCGGGAGGTCTGGGCGGTATTAGATCCATCCGACCATGTGTGTATGTGATAGTACGCCGCTTGTCGCTGCACCACCTCCGCCTAGTTGTATGTAGCGATGGGAGTTTCATAGAATCCTTGTGGACACCACACAATGCTCAGGGAAGATTGAGAAGTTTTGCGAGGGGTTTTCCATCGGTTTTCACAGAACTACAAATGAATGCCCATTTAGGGCCACATAATTCAGTAACAAGTAAGTACACTGACATATATCGAGCAACGATTTTACTCACTAACGAAAGAGTTTCTGCAGTTCAGGTGTTGTTGAATCCCTCCTGTATGGGTCCCTCTCCATGCCACTTAGTGATCAGCACAGAGTGGAATCAAGTAAATAGGTAAGCGAATGATTAAGCAAACATTATCGATTTACTGGCAGCGCTCCCGTCCCCGGGGGTCCACCGCCCTCGCGGGCCTATAGTAGTAACGAGATATAAAATTGAACTGGTGAACACAAAAGCTCATATTTTATCAGATAGCGGGTTTGCGCCAGGCATAATCAAGGCCAGACCAAAGGGCATTCATAGCTCCAAAGGGGATTACTACGGGTCGACAACGAGATTGCGGCAGCGGCAGGGAGGGAATGACAGACATGCTTTATTTATGACTTCAGGAAAAAATAGCGAGAGAAATGAACTGATCAATGTGGCAGGCCTTTAATTGAACAGAAAACAACTCTTAACCAGCTTTAAATTAATATTTATAACAAAATAATGTTAGTATTCCTCAGTTTGAACTCAGGCCAATTATTGTGACGGAAGTAAATGAGGTGTGATGTGTCGTCAAGGTGAGAGCCCGACGCCAGTCGAGTCCGGACACTTGAAAAAACAAACCATCCATGAGGATGGATTAGTTGGACTTTCTTTAGGAAGATCGTGTTCCAAAGATAACTTCAGAGGTTTCCAAAACCTTTTCTGATTGCAAGTATCTAGGAGGGGAATCGGCTTCGAGGGAACTCCGTGAAGGTAATAAAAGCAATAGCGATGCATAAAGGTAGCGATTCAGGGAAGAAGGAAGTGAGCTTGCTCGAGAGTAGGAAAAGTTTCTTTACATCGTCACATGTGCAGCCACACAGGTTAAAGAAAAAGAAATGTAGTACGAACATAGAACAGTTAAGCTGCAACCCAGGCAAGTGGTAATGGAGAGCCCTTGAGACTCGGGCCGTGATCGAAATTTAGTTTTTCCATGTTCCAAAAAAATGTGGGCGCCCTTGAATTCCTCTGGGACACGCTATACATTTTTCAGTGCGATTTAGCTGACTGATTGAGCTGTTCCCTACACGTCGAACGTCACCAGACGATGCGATAATTCAGAATATCCCCGAAGAAATTTAGCACGAATGACGTTCAACACAGCGATGCGCCACTAGTGATGCCATATGGAATTACTTCTGCCACCGATCGCTGCCATACAGCCATAAAGAGATTTTGGGTGGCTGGCTTAGAGCTAATCAGTGTTGGCAGGAGTTAAGTCGGAACCTGAAGAGCACGTCCAGATGTGAACATACTACTACCACCGGCACGGCAAACGAATTCAGTTCTTCGAGTCGGCCCTTCACCTTCACAGTAAACAATGTGAGTGGTTGGCACGATTAGCCAAATTAGTTCCGAAATGAACGATGGCATTTGCTTACCTGCGCCTCACGAGAACTCCTATACCACCATCAGGTTACAAGAGCTCGTATTGACTCTAGCACGTGAGAAGAAGTAGAACCAGAGAACAAGTAATAAAAACGGCAGTAGGAAATTTTGTTTTTAACTTTTTTTCTATAAAACCAGTTACCAATAATTGTAGGAGTTATGAATGCGTATGTGGCCTATAGAATTACTTGTGGTGCTCAGCCGATGTACAAGTCAGTACTTCTATCCTCCCAAACGAATCTGGTACCAATTACTCGATCCTGGAGTGATGAAGGATTTGCTCAACCTAGGCAAATATCGATCCGGCATTCGAACCAGTGACCATGCGTGGGTGGCAGTGCGCCACTCGCCACCACACCACCTCCAATCATATTATTACGATGCCTACAGTTATTGTCAAATAGTTTTGTCTACAGTGTCGACTTCTAGTTGGATTTAACCAAACAACGGCAATCGTGAAGCTTTTCATCTAAAATAACAGGGCAAGAAAGGGCCTATTCATGAAGTCGCTTGAATTTGGTTTTATTATGCGTGAGTACTGCCAGTACTTGCCTCATGAGTACTGGTCGTCGCCTGGTCGTTGAACCCTCGAAAATTCGCGATGCACATGGGGCATCACACTTCTGTTATGGCCTTTTTTCATTCGTTTCGCATTTGATTACGTTCCAAAGCTGCGAATAAATGCTCTCGAACACTGGGGGCTATATATGTGTGGGTCTGCCCCCCAATTATAAAAACACCTGAATCATCGGTTCCGTTTCGCAAATCTCGGGCTCGTCATCATCGTTCCCAACCAGGAAATTTCAAAAATTCATTAAAGTTTTCTATAACTGCTTAAGTGAAGTAGTATGTAAGAAAAAGCAGATCTTTGTGCCGAGCGATAAGAGAGGGCCCAGTAAAGTATGAACCGTACATAGTCTGCGATGCGCGCGATAGTTGCGCTAGCGATATACGCCCTGAGCTCGTACACCTTCCAAGCGCAGAATGGCAGTTGTTTGGAATGCTTGTAAATTTGCCTATGCACCAGAAAACACAGTATCTGTACAAGGAATCTGAATTCACCCGAGAAGACGATATTTTCGGTTCTGCTATTACAACTCGGTTCATAGCTGAGTTTTTCAACGCTGGATATTCCTTTGAACTCAGCTCATGAAGCAGAAGTTGATTGAAAATTTGTGAAAAGCCTCGAATCTGATCTAGAATAGAAGGAATGAATTCAGAAAAACATCATTCACGAAGAGCTTACAATTGGATTGAAGGCACACTTCTATGTTTGAAAAGGTGTTCTGTTTAAGATCGAAAGTCCATACTGCACTGTAGTCAGTGCTGTGCAAGAGTTTTGTGGCCGGCTTGACTACCTATTGGCAGACCGGCTGGGCTCGTGAATAGTGTCAGAACAATTTTCCAATGAATCCACCATTTGGCTAACCAGTACTTCCTCGATTTCTAGGTCTACTGTTACAGGATAGCATTTGTTCGAGAGGTTCTCATTACAGGGTGTAATTTAGCTTGGGTTAGGGAGTAAAGGATAGTTTACTGGCTAGGCCATGCCGCGTACCAATCCTTAGAGCCAAGCAACAGAGGGTTCTAGATAATACATGTAATCTAGTCGGACATGACTCTTGTAGAGCACTAAGTGCAAATCGAGATAGCTTAGCGACTTCATAGCTACCCTATCAGACCTAAAAAAATACCCCACCGAACCAGAGATTACGCTTTGAATTACAGCTATTGCAGGACAAGGCTTTTCTACATTAATAAAGCACCGTAGAACTCGATTAGTTGTGTTCAATGGAATACTCACTTTTGAAAATAAAAACCCAGCTATGGACCGATTGAGACCATTTCTATTGAATTTTGGCAATTCTTCTGATAAGGTTCCAGCGGGTTGCTTAAAACAGGTAGAGAAGAAATTAGCCTGTAACAATCCTTCTAGTATGCTTGAGGAGAAACCAAATCCATAGAAGCTGATAGAGAAAGTTATGGACCGCATGATACTCAAGCAAGAAGCCGTCGGGACAGTTGGCTATCTCGGGAGAGGTTGCTTGGTTGCACCCGAAAGAGGGCTGGTCGCGGATTAGTGGTTGCCGCCCTCCGTGTGCGAATAGCCGACGCTCTCTAACGGCGACGGAACACGAATGAAATATGCGCATAAATGGGTGGGCAATCTGAGTGGTATCATGAACGGGGAAGGGGAGGAGTACTGCTGATGAATTGGAGGCTCCCACACTGATGAACACCACCGCATGGACGGTCTGAATGACTCAACGCAGCTTCATTAGATACGCATCCTCGAGACCAGCGTTGCTTTCCACTCTCTGGTCATTCAACGCCAATTACGGCGCTAACAACGGGGTTCCACCACAACGGCACACAAAGAGGTAGTTAAACGGACCCCATGAGAGAAGGAACTACTGGATGCGGCGAAAAGTAGAGGAAATGAGCGGAAAAAACTACGTTCGAGTAAAGTGAGGGGAAGGCTCGTTGATGATCAAAATAGAAACTGAATCGGAAAGATGGAAAAGAAATTTCTCAAACTTTTTCACCTTCAGCGAGGTTCTGTAGTAAATTATGGGAAGGACCATGGAAGCTAATGACTTTCTAATGAAACTATGTCATATTGATGGAGAGGTGGTGAAATGAAAAATGATGCGACAGGTCAGGCATGCATAAAAATGCCTGCCCGATTCCGACGAAGACTTTATGGTATTCCAAAGTAAAATCGGTCAATTTCGATCATTTGACCGATTTCTGTATAGAGGCGATTCGTCATATGATTCGAAAGGGAAAAATCATCAGAAAGATCCAAAGTCTGCTCCAAAACTTCAAGATTCGCGATGAATTTCAGAGACGTCAACTAAAGCAGGTGTCGCGAACATACCACNCTGCCCGATTCCGACGAAGACTTTATGGTATTCCAAAGTAAAATCGGTCAATTTCGATCATTTGACCGATTTCTGTATAGAGACGATTCGTCACATGATTCGAAAGGGGAAAACCACCAGGAAGTTCCGAAGTAACCTCTGAAATTCGCGATTCACGATGAATTTCAGAAACGTCAGCTAAAACAGGTGTCGCGAAATACCACCAGTTTCTTCTGAACATTTCTTCTGCGAACAGCTGGCGCTTTCCAGGTTTTTGGCCTTCGAAATCTGAGTAAGCTGCTAAGATAGGACTGACTGGTGTTGGCATTTCCATCATTATCAAGTTTCTCCAACGGACCATAGCTCTCAAGTCTGCTCACAGATCAAGCGATCATCGCTACGGTAATGTTTGATGTCCTAGCAGGAAGTAAAGTTCGGGCCAGAGCGATTCTTACTAAGACACAGGAGTTCATAGATCGTTCACTAACCAACAAAAACCCCTTATCTGGTCATGAAGAGTCCCAAACGATTCATCTGGTGTTCAAGCCACACCTCAGCAAACCTCTACGGGATTTCGAAAGAAATCTTAGGGCTCGTACCTGCTTCATAGTGATGGCAGACTGCTCGTGCAGTCACTTCTGTATTGTTACTCGAATGGCGGTTTACCGATCGCTACCCTCATATTAATTTGAAGAGCTCTGTGGTGGACCTCAGGATTGAATGAGTACTGAGAAAGTGTGCTCTTGAGCTGCTCAAATTCAAGGAACAAACAGTTGGTTAGCTGAAGAATTCAGAGGAGACAACCCCTTAGTTTTGTCATAGGTACAAGAAAGCAAAGACAAGGATTGGATCCGAAACCAAGGCAGGATTGAAGTGCTACTAGTTGGTTTAGGGCGAAACTCGTAGTGATCCATCCTTGTTTACTTTCTAATCACCCACTGAACAAACATGAAAGACGGGCTTGTGGCGCGTGGCGATTTGCTGACAAGATTCCCAATAGAAAGAAATGATTTGCAGGAGATAAACTTGGAAATACAAAGTATCAAGGAGGACGAGTATAAAGCCATTTCCCATCAACATTCCTTCCCCATCGAGCTACTGTCGAAGAATGAAACCATAATCATAGAAGTACGACAGAGGTCAAATGTTGGACTAAGTAATACAGCATAAGAGAGTTTGTTCCAACGATTCAAGCTGTAGAGCCTTGCAGGCGTGTCCACACCCTGGGTTACTTCAAAAAGAAGTACTTATGTTAGAGCTGTGTGACAAGTCGTCGAGAACTCGTCATGCCCCCAAGATTATTCGGAAGGAAAAACTTCGGCAAAGGGACTGGATCAAATCTGTGTCTGCTATTACCCCGAATTTACATCCCTTACCCTTTCCGCCAGCAACTACGAGCAAGACTGACGGAAACTGTCGCCGAAAAACGCTGACAAGATGACCCGCATACGTCATGGTTTTTCGTCAGCTCTTACAAGTCCTACGCCGACGAATACCGACTGATGCTGTGGGAACGTTCGAAGGGATAGTTCCTACCAGAGGATCGCATGAGCTGAAAGACTGCCTACAGCTGAATGGAGTCTATTCGCACACGCACTAGCCCACAACGTTGGTGTTAGGGGGAGATAATCGCTGATGCTATGCGCCCTCCAGACAAAAACATGGTCTGGCCGAGTTAGGACCGGAACCTACATATCTATTATTCGCATTTTATACTTAGAAGTACCTGACCATTTTCAAGGATCTTGATGCGATAGATAAAATGGTTAATACACATGGGTTAATTGCAGTCGGGGTCCAAATGACGAAAGACGATTTGCTCCTATACACACCTGAAGGCACTTGCCTACGAATTCAAGCCATATTGTACATTTCTTTCAGAGCCAGACAGTTTGTAAGTTCTAAATGAGTGATTCATTTGTTTTGCAATCAGAAGGAACCGTAGCGAAGAAAATTGATATTGAGTTTTACAGTAGAAAATATGGAATATAGTGGTGGCCCCCAATAGTTTCTTTGGAGTGCGCCACTCAACCGAATCTTTACGAAGTCGTAGATGGATTTGAGTTTGGTCTGCAAGTAATCATTACGAAGAGAACCAGCGTTAGTTTCGATGTCCTTACGCTTTCAGGCAAGTTCCGCAGTCGCGTATGCAGTTACCAGTTAGTTCAGTTATAATTCTCTGGATAAGTTGGGAGCTTGTCCAGCGGAAGGATCCGCTTCACTTGCCATCAGGTGATTATACGACTTAAGAGTCTCCGACACTAGCCACGTGGATACCCATAAAGTTGGAGTAGCCAGTACACTAGATTCAGCACTGTAGGGTATTCGGGGTATCTCGTACCAATCCTGTTTATCTTTTACTTGTTGACTCGTTGATATCTTATCACTACGTCAGGATAACTGTTGCTCTAATGACAACTTCTACCCCAGACACTTATACGGTTATAGTGCAGCTCGTTTCTACTCCACTGTACTCCGCATCTTGTCGAGTTGAGCTGGGGAGTACTGGAAACTGCTGTGAGAAATCTCCGTTCTAAGTCACTGTCCCTTCAGGTGTCCCTAGATGCCCACCTGACTGGCTGTCTGGAAACTGGGAGAAAGATATGGATTTTTAATAGAACAGGGGAACAAAACACCACCAACGAAAAACAATTCAAATGTCGCAACGTGATCTGACATACATATAGACACTAGGGTACTTCTGTTCACTTTTAGCAAAGTTGAAAGGGGTTCGTAGGAGTTTTCCAAACAGCTTTCTACAGAAAAGTTCAGACGTCAAATGTGCTATTTTCATGGCCTTGAACGCAACGAATTCAGCTCTTTTGTTGCGGAACAAAAAACCGCACAGCCACTACCACGACGACGACGACGACGACGACGGGACGGCAAACCAATGGCATGTCTTTTTCAACGTCGAAAATGGCCCGATGTGACCTTGTCGGCCAATGTTTCACACAAACAATCCGCACGTTCCCTTCATGCATGCGCGACGATATCACGCACGATTTATGAATTTCAATCTGAGAAATCCCTCGCTTTCACCAGGGGAATATCTGATGAGAAGACAAAAAGGTATTTTAGTGTAATATGCCATCGAGGACGAGAAATTTGCGCTTATGAGTAGTGTTCTATTGTCCGGAGGGAGGAAGGAAGCTTGAACGGAAAAGAAAGGAAAATATCGATGTCATTTCTGATGTATGTAGCTCTCGGGGTCGAACAGCAGAGGCTGCAAAAACCATGCCGACATAGACACATTCTAAAAACATTCACCAAAGCCAGTTCATTCTGGTCATCTGGAGTCCTTGCGGTGCCTGGGTATTTAAATGGGATGAGTGCAGATGTATTGCTGGTTTTCCGCTTCCTGTTGATATCGCAATTCACTTTCAGGGAATTGCGAATTTATTAAAATCGCCACCTCGAAATTGTAAAGAGGCCTTGACCGTTATAGGAAAGATCCTGAACAATGTTCGAGGAGAAAAGAGAGTAAACGCGAGAAAGACACCAAATTACCGATTATCCCAATGAGAAGCGAGCGTTTTTATAGATGATTTAAATGCAGAGGAAACTGCTGAATGAAAAATTCGGTTCATTGATATGCTGGACCTCGGGAGGTCATCTGGGGAAGGACTTTTACGCCACAACTCATGAAGAACTCAAGATTCTGAAATGGCGAGATGAGCATGGCCGATTTCGAAGACCTCCCAAGTTATAGGGGAACCTTCGTTGCTCGCTCATATTGACTTTGAATGACGTGGTTCTTTCCTGTGACACATAAACATCACCATTATTAATAAAAGGATAAAGTCTTCGGGTGTCAATCAATACCCTCTGAGGGATACACTCCGCACTTCCATACAGAAGGCGTAATTAACGCATGTGGAGTCTATACAGTGACTTGCGGTGGACAGCCATTGTACCGGACAGCGCTTTTGCCCTCTCAGACGCGCTTGGTATCCAGTAACCGACCCCAGAGGAATGAAATGCTCGGTTGGCCTAGGCGGATATCGACCCCGTATCCGATCCCCTGGACCTAAGTACGTGACAGTGCGTCACTTGCCACTTCACCATGTGTTTGGTCAGCAAAAGAAGAAGACCTTGAAATGTGTTGACTAAGACTAAAATAAAGAAGAATAAAAAGTAAGAGTGATGGGCAAATACTACGACCTTAATAGATCGGATTTCTGGGTTGCGCAACCATTCCACTTTCATTCAGAAGTGTAGCGGCTGTGTGTGTGTGACCTTTACAACGACCTGCGGTGGCCAGCCGATGAACAAGTCAGCGTTTTTATCATCCCAGACAAGTATGGAACCAACTAGTGAAAAGTTCGGTCGGCTTGAGCGAGTATGGATCAAGTGTTGATACCCGAATGTGCTTGTGTGATAAAACGAATGCTAGCACTACACGACCTCCTCCCTAAAGATGAAGTGGGGCGAATATCACGAATCGCTCAGGGCAAATTGAACAATCGTCGTTGATTGCAGAAGCATATAGCGAAAGCTATCGCCTCACTGATCGGACTCCGGACTTCTGCTTACAGGCAACAAAACCCGAATTCTACTGCCACCTCACCAGCAGCACCTTAACTTCATCGGAAACTGCAGATATCGTTAAGAAATACAGAGAGGGAGGTACCGGACTTTGCCAGACGATGCTTGTGATTGAGATTGGCTTGTGAGTTTATTACGACTACTAGCGATGTTGGGAAGGCATATTTGTCACAGCATCGGCTGCGTGAATAATGAGGCTTGAAAGTCGCTTGCCAGAAAATAACCGTGCATTCGAGAAGATTGCACGCTTAACTACCCTTAGTGGCTAATGGCTCCTATGGCGATTAGGATGCGGTCTGATGGTGAGATCTTCGGAGCGGAAGCGCCGCTAAACGCCACATCGTCGTGCTATAGTCATAGATTATCCACGGATACGGATGATACTCCTTTATTTAGGACTCTATAAAGGCTGTCCACCAATTAAGTATAGGAAGTGCACTGACGGAAATGGAATGGGTGGAATCAAGCTGATGATTTGGATGACCCATGCGACTTTAAATCCCATCCGAGCGATTTCCACAACCATATGTGGGTGGGAAAATCAGTTTGAAAGTTAGATAACTTTATTAATATTAAGTGGACCAAAACGGAAACATTGCAATCATTAGTAAATCTGAATTGAAGCAGATGCGTCGCACTCCCCACTACAGCTAGTAAAGCTAAAACTGTACAAATACTGACCATCCACTGCCTGACACAAGTGAGAAACCATGAATAAAAATAGGCATGCAGCGGAAGTGATCGATGAGTCACATAAGGGCAAAAGCAAGAAAGTGCAGGATTTTGCAGATTCTGCAGAATTTGAACCCATAA